GTTTGTGACCCTTTTTGTGTTCATGGAATGTCTAGGGTAAAGCTCCAGGGCAAATCCACAAACCGATCACTGTGAGTAATATCTTAACAAGATATTTGAAATATACTGTCGTCCAATTGTTTACTTCTATGTAAGTTTTGTAAGTTCATTAATTTGGGTGGACAACGATTGATATGAATGATTGGGCCGAAGGCCGATTGATATGAATGATTGGGCCGAAGGCCGATTGATATAAAGGATTGGGCCGAAGGCTGATTGATATGAACGATTGGGCCAAAGGCCGATTGATATGAATGATTGGGCCAAAGGCCGATGGACATGAATGATTGGGCCGAAGGCCGATTGATCCAAGTGATTGGGCCAAAGGCCGTCTGCTGTAACTGTTTCAAAGATTTCTTATGTATCTACCTTATTTGATATTATTCACTGGGCTTTCGCTCACGCTCATTCATGTACATGTAGGTGAGCCAAGGGACGTCCAGAACTAGCCTCGGTGAAATTGTGAGAAACAGTCAGAGTTTTGAGGAGTCAACCCAAACGTCTCACGCACGAGACTGTCTTCGCTTTTGTGCTTTGTTCATAGTTTTTGTTATGTTAGCGAAAGCATTGGACTACTTTTGTATATAAGTCCTGTATGCACAATGTTCTGTGTTGGTATATATTTCAATGTGAGTTATTAACACATAATGTTTAGAATGTGATGGTGTGCATATAAGCACAACTCTATGGACAAAGTTTTAAATTTGGTTTCGTTTGGCCCCTTTACTCTGATTAGTTTTGTTTTAGTGGTTTGAGGCCGTAGGTAATCTCGTGATTACTGGCCGGTCATGGCCTTAACCCATAGGGGCGGGTTCAGGTCATGACAGAGTGGTATCAGAGCACGAGTTAATAACTCACACACTTGTCCAAAAGAGCAATAAGCGTCTAGAAAAGATCTAGGATGTATTCATGTGATAAGTATGAATCTGAAAGCATCAAGACTACGCTTAACTGTTAAATGTGAACAACTATGTGTTATAAGTTTGTGAACTGCTTGCGTTTCAAATTATTTGATTATGTATGCTCTTTAGTATATGCATACCTACGTACCTTTTGTATAAAGTATAATGCAAGTTTAATCAGATGGTGAGAACAAGGGGTGATGAGATAGAGGAATCTTCTACTGCCAGACTGGATAGAATGGAAAGACTGATTCAGGAAATGGCAGAGGCATTGAGGCAACAACAGGAATGGCAACAACAGTGGCAGCAGCCACATCCTCCATCTCCATCTCCACCTCCGGCACCTCCTGTGCCAGACAATCAAAATGATGACCGAATCATAGCTCTCACCAAAGAGTTTAAGAAAATGATACCACCACAGTTCCATGGTCGATTAGATCCTTTGAAAGCTGAAGCTTGGGTCCTCGGCATCAAAAAACTGTTTGAAGTGTTTCCGTGTTCGGATACACAAAAAGTGCTTCTAGCCGCCTTTATGCTAGAAGACGAAGCAAGAAGATGGTTGATGTTAATGCCTAAGAATTACAAAGATGCTGCTTGGGCAAAATTTCTAGAAATTTTCTATGACAAGTACTTCCCGCAGTGTGTATGGTATAGGAAAGTAGCAGAGTTCATGGAACTTAAGCAAGACAGTATGACTGTAGCTGAATATGAGGCCAAATTTATTGAATTGGCCAGGTTTGCACCACACGTGATTGATACAGACTATAAGAAGGCGAGGCATTTTGAAGGTGGGCTTCGAAGCGACATTTTAGAAAGAGTGAATGTTTTGAAGCTAGAAACCTACATTGGGGTGCTAGACAAGGCCATCATAGCAGAGGCTAACATAGCTAGACAGGCTAAGCCAACGACAGAATGGACAGGCAACAAAAGGTAGGGCTTCTTTTCAAAGAAGAAGTTTTCAAAGAAGCAAAATACAGGCTCCTCGAATACTTCTAATTCTTCCTGAGATATAACCCTGTTGTGTACTATTTGTAGTAACAGGCATCGTGGGGTTTGTTACCGTGTGTCAGGAGCTTGCTTTAATTGTGGTAAACAGGGGTATATGGCCAGAGATTGCAAACAGAATAATGGAAAATTTGCTGCTAATTCGACAGCATCAGTTCCAAAACTAGGAAATGCTACGAGATCTACTCTCGCCGTAGATACCGTGAGACAAGGGAGAGTTTTTGCGCTTGTTCTAGGCGATACACGGAATGCAAACGCAGTTGTCTCAGGTATTATTTCTATATATGATCAAGATGCTTTTGTATTAATTTATTCCGGATCCACACACTCTTTTGTGACATATGCATTTGCATCTAGACTGAATAGACCTTAGAATTACTGCCATTTCTGCTATGTGTGTCAGCTCCATCTAGGGAATCTGTATTGTGTGAATCTATATACCGATTTTGTGATATGCGTGTTGAGGATGCTATCCTATATATAGATTTGCTGCCCTTGAACTTTAGGCATTTTGATGTAATTTTGGGCATGGATTGGTTGACCAAGTATTGTGCCACCATCGATTGTGTGACAAAAGGAGTTGTATTTAAACCCCCAGAACATAAAGAGATTGTGTTTGTGGGTAATGGGGTAGTGCCTCCACCTTATTTGATATCTGCAATGAAAGCATGTAAACTGATCAGGAAGGGGTGCCAGGGTTATTTGTGCTATGTGTTGTCTGAACAATCTGTGAATATTGAATTGAATGATATCCCTATTGTTAGAGAATTTCCAGATGTGTTTCCAAATGAATTACCAGGGCAATTGGTAAATAGGGAGATAGAGTTCACTATTGAGACTGTGCCAGGCACGCAACCCATTTCTAAAACTCCCTATAGAATGACTACTGCTGAAATGAAGGAACTGAAAGAACAGTTGCAAGACCTACTTGATAAGGGGTTTATCCAACCTAGCACTTCACCTTGGGGTGCACCGGTACTGTTTGTGAAAAAGAAAGATGGAACCCTATGCTTGTGCATCGATTATTGGGAATTGAACAAGGTAACAATTAAGAACAAATATCCCCTACCCTGTATTGATGACTTATTGGACCAGTTGTAGGGATCACAGGTATTTTCTAAGATCGATTTGAGATCCGGGTATCATCAGCTGAAAGTTAAGGTAGAGGATGTTGAGAAAATCGCATTCAGAACGAGGTATGGACATTTTGAGTTTCTTGTTATGCCATTTGGAGTGACTAATGCTCTGGCAGCATTTATAGACCTAATGAATCGAATTTTTAAAATCTACTTTGACGAATTTGTTGTGGTTTTTATTGATGATATTTTGATATATTTTAAAGATAGACTTGAACATGAACGTCATTTGAGAACGGTCTTACAAATACTTCGGGAAAGGAAATTATTTGCTAAACTAAAGAAATGTGAGTTTCGGTTGGATGAAGTTGTTTTCTTAGGGCATGTGATCAACAAGGAAGGAATTTTAGTAGACCCACAGAAAATAGAGGCGATTGTGAATTGGCCTACACCAAAAAATGGAACAGAGGCCCGCAGTTTCATGGGCTTAGTCGGGTACTCTAGGAGGTTTGTGAAAAACTTTTCCAAGATAACTGTACCTTTTACCCAGCTGACTCGCAAGGGGCAATTTTTTGAATGGAATGACGAAAGAGAAGCTGCCTTTCATGAATTGAAAACAAGATTGACCACTGCACCAGTGTTGACACTACCGTCCGGTACGAAAAATTTTGTAATTTTAAGTGATGCATCTTATAAAGGTTTGGGTTGTGTGCTAATGCAGAACGGAAAGGTTATTGCTTATGCCTCCCGACAGTTGAGACTATACGAGAAACACTACCCAACACATGACTTAGAATTGGCCGCAGTCGTTTTAGCTTTGAAAATCTGGCGGCATTATCTGTATGGGGCAAAGTGCGAAGTCTACACGGATGACAAAAGTCTGAAATACTTCTTTATGCAGAAGGAGTTAAATATGCAACAGAGGAGATGGCTCGAACTGATAAAGGATTATGATCTAGAGATTCAGTATCACCCCGGGAAAGCTAACACGGTTGCTGATGCCTTGAACAGAAAATCAACGGGGAGTATGGCTTGTTTGCTCACTGAACAGAGAGAGATCTTGCAAGATTTTGAGAAGTCTGAAATTGAAGTGGTGATGTGTGAACAGGGCAGATTGATAGCCGCTATTACAGCCGAGCCGGCAATCATTAATGAAATCAAACAGAGACAGAAAGAGGATGGATTCCTCAAGAAAGTGATTGATGAATTTGAGACAAGTCCGAAAGCAGAATTTGGCATTGAGAATGAAGTGTTGAGATTTCAGAACAGAACGTGTGTCCCAGATATTCCGGAACTGAAGTAGAGGGTTTTAGATGAAGGCCACAGATCCATATTTGCTATGCATCCGGGTAATAATAAAATGTATCGGGATTTGAAACAAACCTATTGGTGGCCTAAAATGAAGAAAGAGATTGCAGAATATGTGTCCAAGTGTCTTCAGTGTCAGCAAGTTGAGGCTGAACATTAGAAACCAGGCAGTCTACTTCAACCTCTCCCTATTCCTGAATGGAAGTAGGAACATGTGACTATGGATTTCGTTGTTGGCCTACCTCAGACTTCTCGAGCACTACAACGAAAATGACTTTTTATAGCATGCAATGAATGCTATCATAAGTAAATTATAGCATTCGATGGAATGCTATGTTAGCCCATGTTATTAAAAGTCTTTAATTTTTTATAACATTCATAAAATGCTATGAATGAATGCTATGAAAAGTGTATAATAGCATTCTTGGAATGCTATGATATGGTACGAAATTATTAAAAAAATATATAATCATAGCAGTTTGTGCATGCTATGAAATATCTTTTATAGAAATCTAATAATGTTATCATATATCTGATTGTAACTATATATGAATGTTATATTGTATTTTGCTAATAAAAAGGTGTGTGTTTTTTTTTTTTAATTTTTCCATATAGAAAATCCCAAAGCAACCAAGGCTCTCAAAATATTTTCATCTATTACACAAAAAAATGTATCATCAAGAGGAAAACATTCAACACAAATTTCATTAAAGCATCCAAGTAATTACATTGTTTTACCAAAGCACCAAAATATAATCTCCATATCCGTAAAGGACAATTTATAAACAATTTAGATCTCTAACATAACCATGTACAGCTGAAAATAAGGTATACATTCATTTATCTTCTTCACCAACAACTTTCATCATTCAAACTTCATTTTTTGGTGAGTTTAGTCCCTCTTTATTTGCGAAGCCACCAACAGCAACACCAAAATGAAATTCCCTGCTCAACAAAAGCATTTGGAAAAAATGGTGGATGATTAAACAATTCAGAAATCCTAAGGATTCAATCTTGGCTTAGTACCTAAGAAAAAAAAATTGATGATACCATTCAAAAACCCGAGTAAGTAGGAATATTTATACTACTAAACTAATGAAATTTCACCAAAAAATTAAAGCAAAATGGTTGGAAGCACTAGGGGGAGCACTAATGATGTGGCAGTGGGACCCGCCCACTGCCTACGCCTTTTTTTTTTTGGTATTCCCAATGCATTAGTGCTATTAGTGGTGCTTTTTTTAGTGGTATGAATCATTGTTGAAAATTAAATTCAAAAGAGAAATAAACAAGCCATATTAAAATTAGTTTCTAAAGATTGGCAAATAAAATTGTGATTTGCAGAAATAATTGGCGAAAGGTAAAACACATAAAAAGTAGTCAATTTATAAAGCAATAGGCAATGTCCCAATAATTCCAAATTTTCAATAAACTTCATGAAATATAAAATAAACTAATGTTCCTATGTTTATGGATACAAATACGATATGCCCTATAATTTTAAAATTTGTCTTAGCTCATTAACAACATGAAAATTACTAATCATATTAGCAGGGAATTCAAACCTGTAAATTTATCATTTCTCTCATTACAACCTGCTCAGCAGCCATGGCTATCAACCTATTCCAGCAAAAAAATAACTTGGCATCATATTTCAAATTTAATTGGAATTGAGTAAAACTCTTATTGGTACTAAGTCAAAATTAATAGAATAGAATTGAAAGAAACAGCATCAAAAGGAATACTAAGTTAAAACTTTTAAAACTAACAATTAAAATTGGCCCAGGTGTTAAATCATATATAAACTACTCTATCTATTAATTAGATCCTGCATATTATAAAGCACTAAACAAAATGCAAAAAACAAAAATATTAGTTTCATAATCAATGACATATTGAATCTTCTAGTAACTTATTTCCAAGCACCAAAAAAAAAAATTATAACTAATTAAGAGAAAATTATTAAATATTGTAGCAGCACTATGTGTACATGACATTCCTGACAAATGAAAAATCATAACTCACATTTTTTAATTACCTAACAAGGGTCAATCATTATATTCATCATGTAAAAAATATTCATCTGTGATTGATTTGAAATATCACATAATTTTTGTTTTTATTTTTTTCATAGGAGATTCTTTCAATTCTTCGTAATAAAAATCAAGACTACCCAAATTACAAATATATTTGCGTATATTAGAATATACATATATATATATATAAAACTAAAATCAATACAATTCATATATGTATATACACAACCCATATACGTTAAGAATATGCACAGGTCAACAAAATGAACAAACTATACCTAATAGGAACTTGAATTAAAATCACACAAAGAAAATAAGAGAAAATGGTCAAGTCGTTACCCACAGACACAATCTAAACCTGTATGCGTCTCTTTCCTCACCAACTCTTGAGATTGCAATGGTCATAGATGCTTCAAATCAAAACGAATATAAATTAAAATCAATTAAATTTATCATATACCAATTTTTTGCAATCGCAGTCTTCTATTGTGTGTGTGTGTATATATATGAGTATATACAATACCTCTAGCAAAATCGTGAGAGAGAAGTAGCAATTGGTTTGAATATGGAATTGAATTGGAACCTTGATACAAAATTATTGATGATCAAAGAATGGAAAAATGAATTAGAGGAGAGTCCATGATGGTTTGGAAACCGTGGGGAAGTGGGTTTCAAGAAAATAGCAATGAAGCGATTAGGGTGGGCATGTTTATCACTAAAATTCTTTTTTTTATTAATTAAATGTATAGCATTCATATTTTTGGTGATAACATTGATAAATTTCTATTAAATGTGAAAATTACACAATTTTAGCAACCTTTATAAAACGTTATTAAAATTACTACAAAATATGATGGAAAATCTAATGTTACGAGTTGTCTCTTTTTTATAGCTTTTTATAACCAAATGCTATTGATGTATCATATTCAATAGCTTTTTAAAAAGAATGTTATAAAAAAATGTTATTAAAAGTATTTTTTGTTGTAGTGGAGGTATGGATTCTATTTGGGTTATAGTTGATAGACTGACTAAATCGGCACATTTTCTGCCAGTTAGAACTACATTTAATGCTTATAGATTGGCTACTATTTATGTTGATGAGATTGTCCGTTTACACTGAGTTCCAGCATCTATTGTGTCGGATAGAGATCAGAAATTTGTATCTAGATTGTGGAAGAGTTTGCAAGAAGCTATGGGGACAGAACTAAGGTTCAGTACTGCATTCCACCTACAGACAGATGGGCAATCAGAGCGAACAATACAGACTCTGGAAGATATGCTTCGGATGTGTGCTTTGAATTTCCAGGGGAGTTGGGGAGACTACTTGCCACTTGCAGAATTTGCATACAATAACAGCTTCCACTCTAGCATCGGTATGGCACCATACGAGGCTTTGTATGGTAGAAGGTGTAGATCACCTATTTGCTGGACAGAAGTCGGGGATAGAGCTTTACTTGGGCCTGAAATTGTGCAAGACACTTCTGAGAAAATCAGGATTATTCGGCAGAGGCTCAAGACAACTCAGGACCGACAAAAGAATTATGCAGATGTTCGAAGAAGACCTCTTGAGTATGAGGTTGGTGACCATGTGTTCATCCGTGTTTCTCCGATGAAAGGTCAAATCAGGTTTGGAAAGAAGGGCAAGTTGTCGCCCCATTACATTGGGCCGTTTCAGATTCTAGAAAAACTTGGTCCAGTCACCTATAGGGTTGCTTTGCCACTAGGATTTGAACAAATCCATAATGTGTTTCACGTATCGATGTTGAGGGGTTACCTCCGAGACCCGTTTCATGTGATTGATTATCACCGGGTAGCTATAGATGAAAATATGGAATACGCTGAATGGCCGGAATGAATTGTTGATCGACAAGTGAAACAATTGAGAAGCAAGTCCATCCCAATCGTGAAAGTGGAATGGAAAGAACACTATGTGATCTATGCTACATGGGATAAAGATGAGGAAATGCGACTACGCTACCCACACTTGTTTCCCGACGAAGGTAAATTAAGTTTGGAGGACCAAGCTTCCTAAAGGAGGGAAGACTGTGATATCCCTGTTCCGTAATATGTTAATTGGTCCTTAAAATGAGTATGATTATGTGTTTAATATGATTTTGTGTGCAAGTATGTGAAAATATGTGGTTTTGAATTTCTATCTCTTTACCGTAGAAATATCTGTTTGATTATCTGTTTTCGAAATTAAATTGAAGGCCTTATTGGCCACCGAAACCAAAATTGATTGCGCCATTGTGATTGGCATAATTTTTAGAGCCAACGATGAAGTTTAATTGAAAAATTAATTCAGACCAGATTAAGTTGTTTAAATTGGTGAATTAGTGCCCAATTATTTCTTATTATTAAATTATAGCTAGTGGGAATTTATGTAAAGAGGCACTATACTCTCAATTTCCTCCTTTTATCTTCATTTGGGCTGATCAACTCTCTAGGAAGAGGGAAGGCCGGCTGTTAGAGAGAGAAAGGGAGAGACTTGTGCAATTTTTGGCTCAAGCTTGGGGATTTGAAGATTTAACTCAAGAATTGACTAGAGCTTGGGTGTTTGAAGCTCTTAGGTGAGTGAATTTGTGAATAATAGTTGTGATTTTGTGAATTTAAATTGGAATAATGGTCAAGAACATGAATTTGATTGAGCATGATGTAACTGAATTGGTTTTGTTGAATTGAGAGCCAATATGTGCATGCATGTAAGAAATTGTTTTGAATTTGCATATTTGAGCTTGAAATACATGATTCATGTAGAGTTTTGGTTAGAGCTCATGTTATGATCACCATTGGTATTATCTAAGTTGAGAATGAGAGTAATACATAACATGCATGTACAATTTATGAGGATAGGAGCTTTGAATACATGAATGTGTTATGATGAAAATGAGTTTGGTGTAATTTGGGCCATGCATGTGATTATTTTGTGAAATTGAGCTCCATTATGTTGTAATTTAGTGTTTGTACCACATTAGTACATGAATATGTGAAGTTTGAGCTGAGATTATGAGTTTGGAACCTTTGGAGGTCGTTTTGAGCTCAAGAACACATTCTGGAAAACCCAGAAATTTGATGTCCGCTCGAGCGGGGAAACCGCCGCTCACGTGTGAATTTCGTGCTCCCAGTATTTTCTACAGACCATAATGTCCGCTCGAGTGAGTAAGTCCACGCTCGAGCGGGGAGCTATGTAGGATGGACTTCCGCTCGAGCGTCCAAGTTCCACGCTCGAGCGTAAAAATGACATAACCAGCACTTTTGCAGACCAATTGGGTTCACTCGAGCGGGGACCCTGTTTCTGAAAATTTTGTATGATCGTTCTGTGTTTCATTTTCCGTTCTCTTTCACTTGCAAGAACTCTTAGGCATGCATTGAGCATTGTAATTGAGTTAAAGAGATAAGAATGAAGCCTAAAGAGGAATATGTGAATTTAGAACGGATCAAATTATTTGTGACCCTTTTTGTGTTCATGGAATGTGTAGGGTCAAGCTCCTGGGCAAATCCACAAACCGATCACTGTGAGTAATATCTTGACAAGATATTTGAAATATACTGTTGTCCGATTGTTTACTTCTATGTAAGTTTTGTAAGTTCATTAATTTGGGTGGACAACGATTGATATGAATGATTGGGCCGAAGGCCGATTGATATGAAGGATTGGGCCGAAGGCTGATTAATATGAAGGATTGGGCCGAAGGCCGATTGATATGAATGATTGAGCCAAAGGCTGATGGACATGAACGATTGGGCCGAAAGCCGATTGATATGAATGATTGAGCCAAAAGTCGATAGACATGAATGATTGGGCTGAAGGCCGATTGATCCAACTGATTGGGCCAAAGGCCGTCTGCTGTAACTGTTTCAAAGATTGCTTATGTATCTATCTTATTTGATATTATTCACTGGGCTTTCGCTCACGCTCATTCATGTACATGTAGGTGAGCCAAGGGACGTCCAGAACCAGCCTCGGTGAAATTGTGAGAAACAGTCAGAGTTTTGAGGAGTCAACCCAAACGTCTCACATTCGCTTTTTTGTCCTTGTTCATAGTTTTTGTTATGTTGGCGAAAGCATTGGACTAGTTTTGTATATAAGTCTTGGGTTCGACTGACTTAAACTTGTATGATTCTGTATGCACAATGTTCTATGTTAGTGTATATTTCGATGTGAGTTATTAACACATAAATGTTTAGAATGTGATGGTGTGCATATAAGCACAACTCTATGGACAAAGTTTTAAATTTGCTTCCGTTTGGCCCCTTTACTCTAATGAGTTTTGTTTTAGTGGTTTGAGGTCATAGGTAATATCGTGATTACTGGCCGGTCATGGCCTTAACCCATAGGGGCGGGTTCGGGTCATGACACTTTGGCAAGCCGAGATGCTAGTTCTATGCCGAGATATTAGTGCCAAATAAGTTACAACCTTGCCAAATATTGGTGCTGAATAATTGTAAACTGTAGTCAAAGAATGTGCCGAATAATAAATAGTACGGTGTGATTTTGCCGAATAAGTCGCCTAAGCCGAATAAGTTACAATGTTGCTGAATATTGATGCGGAATAATATTATAAACTGTAATGCCGAATAAGAAAAGTTACTGTGTAATTTTGCCGAATAAGTCATTGAAGCTGAATAAGTCGAGTTGATTATATGCATGTAGCGTTCATAATGCTGATGAATTCTGCTGCCGAATTGTGGGTGATATTGGCGAATAATATGAATTAATAGTGGCCCAAATGGTGCAAGGCTGAATTCTTCGTACTACAGGTCATGAAATGCAGAATCTTCGATTCAAACTCCCAACTTTGAGCCCTTGTATCTCCCTCGTTTGAAGTCCGATTGGCCTCATTTTTGTAGCGTTGGATTCACCACTCGGCCTGGTGTTCATTCCACTATTCAGATGCGTAAGTCCGCCTCGAATTGGATGCTATTGGACCCCTGAAAGTTGACCAAAAATAAGATTGGTCTACTCTTTTTTTGTTCGGCTCTTCAATGTTGCGGAATAAGAGTAGTGGAGCATGGTTGCGCAATGTAAGTAACTCGGCAAACTTGCTATGGCTAAAGATATTTGTAAACGGGTTGTGATTGCTGAAATCAGAAGTGTTGCGGTCCAATGGTCCGTTGCCGAGCTTGACTATACAGTGGCCAAAGCCATTGCTAGACAACGGCTCTTGGAAAAAGCTGACATGGTCGTGCTCGGTGAAACTTATTCTCGACCTTTCATTGACACCGAATGGCTTGCACCTTTTGCCGAGAGAATGTCACAAGTCTGCTTGGTGAGTTTGGAAAATCAGCAGTGACTCGGGGTGCTTCGCAACTACTAGTCAAGCTTTGGTGAAAGATGTTTGCATTTGTGATCGTCGCCGAGAAGAGCCTAGCTTGTTATGGGTGCTAAACGGTTTTGTCTAGATTTTGATCAGCATCAACATGAGCCATTCATGACGATTGAAGTTGCCCCCAGATT